GAGAAATTTTTCAATGCGATTGATTTGCCTCTGGTGGACGCTGTGCAGCAAGCGCGAGGGTTCCCGGCCGATGTAAGGCGCTTCTACCAGGCTGCTTTTCAGGGGTTATCATTAACGGTAGACACCAGGTGGGGGCCTTCTCTCCCTGTCCATTGCAGGCGGGGTGTCCCGCAAGGTGCGGTTTCCTCGCCGGAATTGTCCAAAGCTGCACAGGACCCACTGCTGCGCGTTCGTGAGCAAAGCAGCGCTTGCTACATCAGCTCGTCAGGCCGCCCAGTTTTTTGTGGCCGGCTATGTGGATGATGCAGAGCATTACGCCCAAGGGGCGCGCCAACTGCCAATTCTCCTCCAAGACCTTTCTAAAGGTAGCCTCCTCATAGGATTTGCTTGGGATAGATTCTCCGCCTACGCCAGTGGCTGGGATGATTATGCAGCCACGCCCGAGGGTGTCGCAGCTGGTTTCACAGCAGACGCAGCTCCAGTCTCCGGATTTGACATTTGGTCAGGAGGCACTCGGGAGTTCTCCGTCCCCCACGCCCGGGCAGACTCGGAGGAAATCCTCCTTGGTAAGCGTGGGACGTACCTTGACCGAAACTCCTTGGCAGCTGCCGACATCTTAAAGCGGGTGGAAAGCCTCCTGCAAAAATTCACTTGGCGGAGACGTAGCTGGGACGAGCTGCTTTTAGGTGCACAGCTATACTGTGCCGGTTACCTGAATTATGCCCCTCTGGTGGGCATTCCTGATCCCAACCTGGAGCACCCTTTGTGCTCCTTTTTGGGTCGCCTATAACCGAAACCAATAATTATTGGTAAAACCAAAAATTATTGGTTTAACCATTTTTTGGTGTCTTAGGATATATATGCAACTAGGCCCATAAGGTTGTTGAAGTCCGGAAGCCCTGATATGTGTAACATTCGCACAAGCAAAGACCCCTTAGAAAGACCCAGTACGTCCTACCGAGCAGTACATGATTATCTAACTATGTATACATAGATATTCCCGCACAACAAACCCTCAAGACCAAACTTCCTGAATCCCGACAGGCCTCCACGATGTTTCCAGCTTCCATGAGCAAGGGCTTCTTTAGATTATTGTTTCTGAGAAATTGAGCAGGGCGATAGTGGAAGTACGATAATAGGATTTGGGCCTGGGAGTGTTGAACAGAGACGGCTTAACATGTCTCTTACACACACATACACACACACACACGTAGTGGCTTTTTTCTGCCACAGAAGCACGAACTGTAATTGATCCGACACCGAGAATCAAGTCATCCCTCCGTAAGCCACACTCTTCGAACTTCCACCAAATATTTTCGGATTGTGCCAGGAGCCACGGCTGAGGGGTGCGTAGTTCGCGATATGCGGGACGTGTAGCCCACAAAACCTTCCATCATCGGTGTTGCAAATGCCCCTGGATTGAGGCACCACATACGATCACTCTGGAGGAACACATGAAGTGACCAAAGCCAGTGAGCAGCAAAATGAAACTTGGGAACAATGTTAAACAAAGTCCAAGAATGCTGGTGCCAGTAGAATGCAAGAGCGCGGTAGGCCTTCAGAAACTTTTGTAAGTGGGCAAACCCTTGCTTGGCCTCCTCTCGTGTCCAGAAAATTCGATTCTCCGAGCAATAGCATAGCCTGTTGAAATCATCAAAGCCACAACAGCCAGCATAGGCCCAGTCCAAAGCATCATTCCGTTCAAACGGCACACTCGAGAGCAAGTCGATGCACCACTGGAACATCATAACACAATCCATGGCTTTGCAACTGCAGTCCGGAAAATTTGCCAGGGTATCCCATCCCAAGTTGTCGACTGTGAATTCTTGCATGTCACGGGGATGGAGAGCATGGGCCTCACAATACGAATGAAAACTTGTAAAAGCCTCATGCAGACAAGCTGATCTGGACGTTTTCCCGGATGCCGGCTTAAACAGTCCCAGTGGCCCAACCATCATACAGATCACAGAAGCAATAAACGTCCGACCACAACCATGCGGAAGCACATGCATCAAATCAAACTGTATAAAGCTGGGTTCGTCACCCCCAGGAAGAATGCCAAAAGGAGGGTCTTTGGTCCATGGCACACACTTGAAAACAGTGGCCGTCCACGTGGCGCTCATATGAATATGCTCAAAGGGTGCATCGCTGCAGTTGGCCAAACAGTGCGGGCAAATCTCATTGCAAGTGTGGTGCCTGATACACCTGTATGCCTTTGTTTGGAAAATGTGATCCCCAGACAGACCAAGCGGCACTAGGTAGAAGGTTACACTCCCCACTGTCACACCCGTCCAGTATGCCCGGCGAAGGGATCGTGCCATCTCATCAAACAGCTTGTCCAGGATTTTGTTCCCCGCCTCATTCCCTTTGTTAAAGTGAGAATAAAGCTTGCAGGGGCACGTTGTCATGAGGAAGAGCCGGTCCCAAGAGCCACTGCCGATTGACAGCAACGGTCCCCAAGATAGCTGCAACACAGGTCGTCGTCGGTGTCCCACACCTTCATCCCCATGCAAAAGCACGGGGATGCAAACACTAAGTTCTCCAGCATGATCGTTGAAAACTGGGTGTGCCTCATTGACACTTTCATACTTGTGCCAGAAATCAAGAAAAGCCTTGCTCCAAGCATCCCTCTCAGTCAAATGGCTTCCGGCTAGAAGCTTCGGTGCCCATTGGCCAGACAGGATCACTTTCGCAAAATCAACGGCCTGCAGCATTGGATGCGGTTTCAAGACCTCTCTGCGAAGACGTCCCCTTCGGCGTAGCTTGTGTACCTTGATGGCCGTGGTGGGTGGGTTGTGGTTCTACACATTTAATTTACAGTTACCTGAAACCACTAGAACACAGAACTCTCTATAAAAAAACATGCTTTTCAATGATTACAACGAGTATCGTTTGGGATCCATTTAAGAGGCACAGACAGCATCAAGCCATGCTGTTGCAGCTTTCTCGTCATATCCCTCATGCCCTTGCGACTCCTATTGGTTGCACGAGCCAAGTCTTGTAGCTGTTCCTTGTCTCTCCGATGCGTATCCCAGGCAGCTAATTCCGACTGTGACTTTGCCAGTTTGGCCGCTCTTTTCCCGGAAGCTTCCTTGGCTCTGAAAAAAATGTGTCAGGCATTCACAAGAATGGACGGACTTTGCAAACAAGGCTCAACATAAGCAGTCAGCACATTCTCCACATGTTGAGAATCACATTCTTTGACGTGACCTGCGTGGGGGGAGGGGGTGCAAAAATCACATGGTAGACACAATGACAAAGGCACATGCCGAGGTATCTTTTGCTCGTCTACAGCAAGGCATGCCGAGCGGGACAACAGCAGGGCCATGAACACTGCATCTCCATTTCAGAAACACAAGCACTTGAGTGGCACTAGATACAGGATTATGCCTCTGCAGAAAACAACATACCAAACCGATGGAGGCATCAGTGGCCAAAGCTGCTGTAACACACTCCTCTAGCCAAGCTCACAGTCAGCTTGGTAGCAGATCCCAGCTGAGCCCCACGGGAAGAAACCCATCTAAAGTTTTGTTTTCCATGAGATCAGGAAGCCAGTGCCCGGGGGGCCAGCTCAAAACGGAAGCAGCCACATGTCTATGCACACATTCCCAGCTGTCTTCGCCCAAAACAGAATGAGTGCTTTCCTGGGCCCAGCGAAACTCACTTGGCTCCCTCCGAATCCGGAGGAGCCGGCGTTTTTTTTGGAGCGGCCTTGGTCTTCGCGGCCGTCTTGGCAAAGTGAGTCCTTGTGCTTGCACACCAAAATCAAAAAAATGCACCAAACAAATATGTAGAAACACATAGCAGCACAACCCAAGCCGAATGTTGTAACATCAGTTGCCCGACCAGGCTGCTTGATCTGTGCATGGTAGCTGGTGAACATAATACACCTGGTGCATCTGGGTTTGGGGAGGGCTGCTGCTGCACAACGAACAGAAAACATGCAGACAGATTTGCATTTATTGTAGCCGAAAAACTCCGAGCGGATCTTCTCCACCAGAGGTGCAAAACTCTGCTTCCTTAGTAAGAAATACAACTATCTGTTCGACAGCTTGTCCAGGCCCAAACATACAATCCTATATCGGATAACCCCCATACATATAACCTTTATGAAGCCCTCTGGCCTTCAAAACCCCAGACTACATGTACCTATTACATACATACATACATGTGTAAATGTGTGTGCGTGTGCCTCACATATATATATATATACATGTATATATATATATATACATATATATATATATTATATGTGAGGCACACACACACACACACACATTTACACATGTATGTATGTATGTATGTATACATATGTACTTCTGATGTATAATAGATACAACTACAGTAGGTATTATGCAACCGTTCGAGCGGGGGCAGTAACCAAGGGATTGCTGCCTGCGGAGTGATGGGGACGTTTAAGTTCCTTGTTACATATATGTTTATATATTACTTGCTATCTGGGGTCCAAGAAAGTAGCGCTAACACTGTCCTGATCGAGATGGGAAGCCGAAGAAACATGGCAAAGCTTAACAGGAAGCACTACTTTGTTTATATAGAGCGTACATTACTTTATAATTTCAGGTTACACATCTTTCAGGAGGATATACGACCTTGGAAGCTACGACGGGCATCCTCACAAGTCTAGCTTAGAGTGACAACTGTGGGGTTGTAGGGCAATGATAGTATATAAGGTACCCATTCTTTATAATCGAACAAGGAACCGAACATCCCTAATACAACTAAAGTAGCAAACCTATAAATTGTCCCTACAAGCCATTGGACATCTGAATGCGGCGGCCGCCGCAGCGTGCTGGCCGAGGCCAGCTGGACGGCTTTCGGGTTTAGGTTGGTTTATAGGCACAAACGGGATACAGGGTAGTAGGGGAACACAGGCATGCTACGCTCACAATGTAGGCTAGAAGCACCCCACCCTCGGCACCAGCTTCGATCTTGGCCAGCTCGTTCAAGAGGCACCCGAGCTTGTCTTGGTTCCATGGGTGCTATCTTATACATCTTAAGGGGACATGCTTACCATTAGAGTGCGAGGCACCACCACTCGTGGACAAGACTTTGAGGTCTTCCCTGCAGCCGCAATTCAGTACACAGGGAAGCATTTTGCTCAGATTAGGTCCACACACTACAGTGCAAACTGTCGAGGCAAGGAGCTCGTGGCCCTTTGATCCCTCCTTCTCGAGCCGCTCACGAGCACCCTTCAGCAGAGCTTTGCGGGTAAGGACTGCACGTCGGTATTGTCCAAGGTATTCCTGAATAGATTCCTCGCCCTCCACCGTGGGGTACTCGGCCAAGCGCTTCTTGCCACCTGGCTGTGGCTTGGAGTTGTCTGTGGTGGTCTCCCCATCCAATTCCTCCATGATGTCTCCGAGCTCGAAGTCACTGGACAAGAGGCCCATTTGCGCCATCTCTTGCTGCAGCTCTTGCAGCTTCTCTTCTGCGGATTCAACATCATCCCGCACCAAAACAAGGTACTTGCGGATGTTGGGGTCATACAAGTCTTTCCTAGGATGACATGCAACTCCATCTAATGCAGCACACACACATATATTCACAAGCTGCTACAAGGACGGTCGTGTCACAACACGTCTCACCATGGCACTTAGTGAGCTTCTTCTTCTCACAGTGCTTGATGGCACCCTGAATCCTCGACCTTATGTTCTGCTCTTGTCGTGGTTACTATTAATGGTTAGCTCGAGCACTGTTGTATCCCAGACACTCCTCCCACTCGAGAGGCGGCTTCCGCATCTCGGCTTCGGTTTTCCAAGAGTAGCCTTGGAGGTTCTTTCGCCACTTCACGGTCTTGGTGCGGAAGGTGATGAGGCAGTTCAGCTTGGCCTGTTCTGATAGGGATAGCAAGGCACCCTGAACAAGTCCAGTAAGGACCCTACATAAACACCACGAACACAAATAGCACCTTTGATAGTCTTATGCGGGGCTCCCTCGGCTGCCTGTACATTCCACGGACCCTGGATTAATGGCTATATAGATTCATTATAGGGTGGCCCAAGAACCTTTAACACCAATCCTTGCAGGCGGCCTCAATCGGCCCTGTTGCTGTCGCTGCTGCATGTGCAGGTACACAGGTTTTTAGACAGGGTTAATAGACTTCAGAGCAGCAACTATAGAGGGTTCGTTTCAAGGTTTCAGAAGGGCTTTGTATGGAATGCAAGAAGGCATATATGGGTTTAGGGTTTATACTTCGTGTCGGTCGGGTTACAGTCGGGGTAAACCCGCAAAACCCCTAACCTTAGAATATCTATAGATTCACGACTGCTATCAGTAACCGAAACCCTGAACTTCCTTAAATCCTGAGCCTATTCTACTCCACCCGGGCAGCCTTGTGAGTAGTGGGATCCCCCCCTTGGACATAGCATCGACCAATGAAGTCCCGGAGCAGGTTCTGCCGTTGGAAGTCTCCTTGCATAGAGGGCTATCGCATTTAGCTCCATGCCCCAGTATCTCCCATGGTTTGATGTAGTATTGGTACAAGTTTCGGCTTTACAGTTCATGGGTTTGCAAAGCTTCGTCGGGGTTCGAAGCGAGGTTGTAGATAGGCTTGTGGGTGCTGGCACGAGCTTCGGACAAGGAGGGCTTTCTTCAGCATATGGTTCTGCCTAAAGTCGAGGCTTATTGATTTCCGGTACAATATGGCTTTGGTGTACTATTGGCTTGCAACAAACCGCGCTTGCAATTCGGATCGACCGGCTGGTTTGCTTAATTTATACGATGTATACCTAATAGGGTTAGCGATAATATCTAGGATTAATATACGGTCTATTAAGAACGGACGATAAATTCATATTGTCATATGTACAGATGTATGTACTTATTCTCTGCGTCTTGTTTATAAATGAGACTTCAAGAGTTGGTAACTCAGATCTGTATCTTGCTTTGGGATTTTACTTCGAGTGCGATTCCTCGAGGAATCGCAACGAAGTAAAATCCCAAAGCAAGATACAGAATGTATGTATGCATGTATACTATGTATGTATGTTTCTGTGTATGTGTGTATGTATAGTATGTATGTATGTATGTCTGTATGTGAGTACATGTGTGTATGTATACATGTGTGTGTGTGTGCACGTACATATCATGGACCCGAAAATTAACTCCCCTCCCTCCCCCCCTACACACACACACACACACTTCACAACACAGGACTCCTGCATCCCACGCTTGTTTGATCTCTGCCAGGCAGTCTGGTGCCCGCGTGATTCGGTACAAAGCCCCCCAAGCGTTTGGATGGGTGGAGGAGTTGAAAGGTCCAGAACCAATCCCTTGCGGAGGGCCTGCGGGCTGCACAGCGAGCTGGGTCTGGGCAGGGGGTGGCAGCTGTTTGGCAACCGGAACGGCCAAAGCAAGCTGGGCTGCTGGGGCAGCTTGCGGGGTTGTTGCAACAGCAATGGCCTGGGACGGGTTTGGGGCCTGCAAAGCAGGCTGGGCTGACTGGGGCCCGGGTGTGTGGGCTTCCATCTTTGCCCGCAGCTTAGCTTTAGCATCATGAGCATCTGCGCGGTTTGCATCCGGCTTGGGAGCAGTGTCAGCCTTTGCAGGCTTGGGTGCTGTCTGCATAGATCGTACGGCCTCTGCTTGGGCAGAAGAGGCTTGCTCGATGAGCAAGCAAAGGTTGTGCTCGTGCTGCTCCCGCTCCTCCTGTAAGGTTGCCTCGTGCTCGGCCTGGCGCTGCATCATAAGCTGCTCCTGCCTCTCCTGCTCTGCCTGCAGTGCCGCCTCATGCTGCTTCCTGGCTTCGTCAAGGGCCTGCTGATGCTGCACTAGCTCCTGTTGCATTTGCCCTCGTAGCTTGCTCATCTGCTCGTTCATGTACTTCTCCAAGGCAGCCTGTTCTTGTTTCATCCTCTTGCTAAGCCCGACATCAAGAGCATCATCCTGGGGTGGGCGCTTCCTGGATTCCTCCTCCACAGCTTTTGCGTACTGCATGTTCGCACCGGGGAGAACCTGTGTCGTCTCGGATGTAGTGCTTCCACCGCAGCTCCCACTCGAAAATCCTTAACTGCTTTTAGCACAAGCACCACAATGGACATGCCGATCATACCGGAGCACAAGTTTATTGGATCAGCCGTAAAACCACGATGCAGCTGCCCCTTCGTGCGGAGGTACTCTTCCTTGAGAGCTTTGGAATCGGGCGTGTCACCCAAAGTCTTCCACAGCTCAGCCGTCTCGGGCGATAGACCCAAGAACCGATCGGGGTCATTGCTTTCACATGTCTCGTCCTGTTGGAATCAAACAAAGTTTTGAAGCGGAACACAACACACACACACACACATTGTGTCTGAATCCCCAGCACACTGCCTTGACCTTTGTGGGTGTGGCCATGGGATTCTGCTTCTCGAGGTAGTTCATCCCCCGGGAAAGAGACTCGCAGGACATTCGATGCGACACCGTACCACAGCGAAAAAAAGCAGCCTAAGTTGAAACAACCTCCTGTAGAACCTGAGAACCCCTCTTCATATGACTAACATACCTATTCGTACTTTTACACACATATGGGTATGTCAGTGTACAGAAACAAACCTCATGCAGGTCCTTTGCTGCTGCTTCGAGCAAAGCAGCGGGATGAGGTCCAAGTCATAACAATAAAATCTTAGAAAGGCCGGGATTTGGTTTCGAGAAACCATAATGGGTTATCGCTTTTACAAGTCTTAAGTGGGATCATGTACATATATACATATTTGTTATGAACGTGTGTATATATATGCACATATCATACATACAGGGAAAGGATATATAGACACGTCATGTGTATAAGGGATCGATCGGGCAGCTGGTTGCTTCTCCGCATAGGACTTGACTAGCGGGGGCTACTTTAGCACTTCAAGGGTCTAGAAACCTTATATAGCTGGCCTTAGATAAACACAACACATGCAGCTATGAGGCCACTCCATAACAGAAGCTGGTTGAGTACATCCACATACCGCCCGATGATGGGTTCTGGGACACACCCACAGAGTAGCCCTGCTTACATCATTTATAAGGTTCGAAGGGTTGTATGGGCCTAGGAGCAACGGGTCTTTAATTGGTTCCATGATCCACCTGTTCTTGCCGGGTACTCAAAACCCTGTAAATAACGATATATGAGATGTTCTCGGAGTACACCCTCCATTAGGGCTATAGGGTTTGGGGCATCGGTTTGCTACATCCGGAGAAGACTCAATGAATGGACAGAGCCCCTGAGACACTGGTGCGTTCACGGGGTGAGTGGATACGACCACGACAGTGTCCGACCGGACATGCGATCAACTCCACGACTGCACGAACGATGCAGGGTTGACATTGGATCTGCGGCAGCGAGCCACACGAACTCTATGACGGCTCAGCAGCATCTGCAGCAGGGTGCTGATTCTGCAGCGTCTGCAGCAGGAAACTGCACAGAGGGTCACGACTCTGCAGCGTCTGGCGCCGCAATATCGGGTGCCGCACTGACGGTATGTCGTGACGGACGACTGGACAATGACAGGATCTATTGGGGCCCCGACCCATTCCCGAAACAAGTAGAAGCAGTTCTTCCTATACTCGCACCCCAACATCCTAAAGTGCATTCCACAAGCCTCTCGTTTAGGGTTATATAGGACTTGATATAGGGCTGGGGTTTTCATCCCCACGACCCTAGAATCTGCACTTAAAACCGCACGTGTGCAAGACCCATAGAGCCATAGAGCCCTATAGAACCCCCAAGACCGAATGTAAATAGAACATCAGTCCCATGGGGGTTCTCCAATGTAATTAATTACATCGCGGGTTCTAATGATGGGTTTGATCTGGCCTGACTGCAGAAGTGTACGTATTACTTGCCAGTAATAATTCGAAGCGGTGCCACACTTTCGGGTTTTGCGCTTGCACTACCTTTGAGAAAAGCCTAGTAACTTATTGGGACATGGGCAGGGTCATGATTTCAGGTTCCATTTCGGACATTCGGGGAGTTCTTTGGGGGATGACTAAACTGACCTCTGCCTCATCTTGTCTGAATTATATAGACCTTAGCAAAGTAGGATTTGTGGGTTTAATGTCTCCAAACACCCCTCGTTGCACGACATGAGCTGCCGGATGTATACAAATGAGCCCTTAGAACACTTTATTCGTACCCCTGGTACAAATAAGCTTTCTTTACAACACTAATTATAAAGCCCTGCATAGCAAATCCTGGACCCTTGATAAGTGGCATCACATAGAAGGTACCATCACAGGGAATTGAACAGCAACTCACTATAATATCCACTACCGAACCCGATTCAAACACAGAGCAAAATCATGCTCTGCGCTTGCCAGGGTGGCGCTGCGGTGGCTTTATCGGAGCCGGTCAGAATTATCTGGATTTATGGGTTTATAAAGGGCAGTTTCTACAAGGGCTCCTTGCTCGGGTTCGGGTTTATGGTAATCGGTAGATCTGGCTTCTAGGGCTTCCTAGATACGATTCGGTAGCTTAGGGCTTTCCGGTGTGACTTCTCGGGCGAGTTCTACGGTTGATGATTTATAAATCCTGCATTACCTTAAGGACCCATAAACTATGGGAAGTATTGTATATTCCTTATTATGATTCATGCAGGATTTATATATATCATCAACCGTAGGACTCTCGAGGTTTAGGTCTTCCAGGGTTTTAAATTACTGTAGTTCCCACTAAACTCCCCACCTCAGTCCTATAAAGCTGGTCAACATCCCAAAGCAGGCTAGAGCTACACTAAATCCTGTAAAAAGTCCAGGAGGTCTTAAACCAGGGTATGTAAGGGGCTCCTACTGAGTCTGGGTAGGTATGACTAGTGAAACAGCTGGTGTTCCTTTGGTTGTCCCGAGCCAAGCAAGTGATGCTATATAAAGTCCCGAACCCGTACCACCGACACTCCTATACTTGTCGCATCTAAAGGAATGATTCCAGAATCCTCTGAAACACCCCTCGACTAAGCAACCTTAAGGCTGTCACAGGGCTATAAGTCAATGGGTATGGTTGTACGTGTTCGATGATCTACTTACAGGACAACTTTTACAACCATCATAGATACCCCAGTACCCTCATTAGCCATATAAGATACTTCGTTGACTCATGTAGGTATATGTATATATGAGCATATATCCCATAGGGAAAACCTCAGTCCCTTCAGTGCAGGAAGAACACACGGGGAGGGCGGTAGCACCCGAGCTGGTAGGTGATGTCTTCGTAGGCAATGGATCTCCTGCAGCGATTGGGGTCAGTTGGTTTGTCCTGTATGACTATTGAAAAAGGGATCCCTTAGCAGGTATGGTGTTTATGATCAGCTAGACATATTAGACTACAGAAGCAATTCGGCTTAGGTCGTATTCTGGGTAAACCAAGAGGGTGGATTGCAAAAATTGGTAAAACCAGTTTCCTTAGGCCCGCTGCTGGGGCGTAGATTTTCTGTTGCGTTCTTGCGCGTTCTGTTGGCTCTTTTTGGTTTTCTGGTGGCGGTTTTTGGTTTTCTGCTGGGGTTCCGTTGCCTAGGTTTTTGAGCTCGGAGCACTGTTTTTGGTTTTTTCAGGTCCTTCAGGTTCGGGAGGGGCATTTTTTGTGTTTTTCAGGTTCCTTGTGTTGCTATATGCTTATTGGGATTGGGTTTTTTTGGGTTATGGAAGCTTGAGCTTGGAGATTCCGGTGTTTGGGTGTCTTGTTGCTTGGCTCTCGGGTGGTTTGTGCCAGGGCTTCAAGGTTCTCAAGGTCTGGTTTTGGTGTTGCTCAGAACCACACAATATATATATATATATATATATATGACATGTAGTGATCAAACCTCTGGACGTTTTGGCCGATTAGAGTAGCTACTGTTGTATACACACATCGAGTTGGCTGGGGTCTACTGGGCATATGATACCTATAAAGTTGTATGGCTGTTGGGGCCAGCCCGGTTCGGATAACACACGATACTCGAGTACAGCTGTCTCAGGGCACGTTATTGCTGTGCACCCGATGTAGGCTAATTACTATAAGTCCCCCGACCCTCCCACTATGTCTTCCTAGACGTCTGGGCAGAAATCTACCCCGGGTGTTCGTGCGAGCATGCATTCAAAGCCTTCACGGGGCCGTAAGGTAGTTGCAACTTTCTGGGGTTCGTGAAGAAAAGCTAACCTTCAAGAGAAGTACTACGAACGAGGCACAAAGCCCGCAGGAATTCCTCCTAGCCTGGATCTAGCCTTTTCTGCAGCCACACCCCTGCAACATCAAGCTCAGCAGACGAATTAGGGCCTCCTGCAGCAAGAACTACGGCTATGGCTAAAACCACAGCACGGCTATGGCTCCAACCACAGCACTGGCTCATGCGATGCCTAATGCACGCTTGAGCTCCTGAGGTAGATTCGTGCTTTTGCTTCGGAGTAAGTATACCACGACCTCATCCATCGCTGCATCCTCCATCCAGTACTTGGATGCGTGATCTTCATAGTACTTCAAGGCCCCGAGAAGCAGTTCCATTGAAGCATCAGGAGGAAGAGCCTCTCACCATTTTAAGTTTTAGGAGAAGGATCACAACACCTGGCATACATAGTTATCTTGCAAAAGTTCACATGTACGTATGTATGCATGCCTGGGTGTGCGTATGTCTGTGAGTCTGCAAACATACATTTGTCGGAGGCTACACATGTATAGGTATTTATATGTATATATACAGATAGATATACATAGAAAGGCAGGTAGACGTATGTGTGCCTGCATGCATATATATATATATATGTATGTATGTATATGTATACATCTATATGTATGCATATTCATATTGTCATATGTACAGATGTATGTACTTATTCTCTGCGTCCTGTTTATAAATGAGACTTCAAGAGTTGGTAACTCAGATCTGTATCTTGCTTTGGGATTTTACTTCGAGTGCGATTCCTCGAGGAATCGCACTCGAAGTAAAATCCCAAAGCAAGATACAGAATGTATGTATGCATGTTTACTATGTATGTATGTTTCTGTGTATGTGTGTATGTATGTATGCATGCATGTATGTATGTATGTATGTATATGTGTGTGTGCGGGTGTTTGCCAATGTGTCTCAATAAGAACCTGCTGTTGATACAGTTGGTGGTGGGTAGGGAAACTTAAGTGGTTTTGCCTAAGCACCCGCCTCTATATGATACACATGCACTATATGCACATAAATGTAAGTATGCAACATATATGTAGTTACATGTACATACACATGTCCGTGTGTGAAGCAACTCCTGCTTAAACTAGATCTACTAGTACCCAAACAGAAGCTAGAAGCCTGATTACAAACCCTAACAGTTATAAGGCTATGGCTCTTGGGGAGATGTAATCTTTTAATGGGTCTTATACAAGGTAGCCTTCGGCTGCCGCTGCGGCGCTAGCGACATCTCCGGCATCACCAAAGCCACTGTCTGGCCGAATTCAGGTGTGTAGGTCC